TTAGAAAAAATAAAAGATAATTTTTTTATTTATATTTATAAAACTATTTATATTTAATTTTTTTAAAAATAACTATTATATATATATATATATATATATATATATATATATATATATATTTAATTGGTGCAGATCATCCCGCTAAACCAGTAAATCCGTCCCTGTAAATAAGTATGATTTTATATTTATAATTTTATTTAATTATTATTTTAATAAAATGCCATAAAACAGAAAATTATACAAATATAAGAGCTAAAATAAATAAATATATCAAAAGTACGTATATCAACACTACATCAATGTATTTTTAATTTAAAAAATTCAATATAATTTTAGTATCAATAAAATAAGTGAGATTTTATTTTATTTTCATAGAAAAATAACATATATTTTATAAATCTTAATTTATATATGACTTAGATGACAGTATGTAGTACTTACTATTTTTTATAACACGAACAAAACTAAAGAGTATCACGTTGTACTAAAGGTAAAAATAAATAATTACTTTCAATTTTAGAAGTACTAAAATAATGTAAAAAGTTTACAAGGATTACGATTAAAAAACTCTCCTTTCATAAAGATTAAAATTATATTAAATAATAAGGTCTAAAACATTAAAAAAATAAAATTGGTGCATAAGTATTAGAGTTAATAGTTTTGAGGTGTGCTAACTTTTACAAAGTGGAAGAAGAAAAGAAAAAAAACGGTTAAAATAATATAAGAAATATATGATCAGTAAAAGGGTTAAAAAAACTAGACATATTGTTTTTAATTTTTAAATTATTAAAAAGAGATATTATATTTTAAAATAATTTTCAGAATCTTATCAAACAATCTTTTCTTCTTCTTTTTAAAAAAAATATTATTTTTTATAGAAATTTGCAAAAAATAAATTTTCTGTAAATTTAAATACATTTTTTTTAAATAACTATTTTTTAGTAGTAACAATAGAAAACAAAATTATCCCAATTTTTCTTCATTCAACACCTAAATCCTAAAATAACACTCCTTTCAACTTTACATTATTTTTTGGTTAATTAGAAATTTAATTGAATAGAGTATGAAATAGATTATCTCTTAATGAAACTTGAAATACAAATCATATCACTTTAAAATGAATTAAGATGGATGAGTTAGAAATAGAAGATAGTAGATGGGTGTGGCAATGGTATTGAAGCATGTTGTCAGGATGTGATTTGGAAATTACTTAGCAGTGTCAAACATCTAATCAAACAGATTAAAGCGAAGTGGGTAGAAGAAGAAATTAAGAAAGCCATTTATGGAAGGCAACAACACACAAGATGAAGCCAAAAATTGGTACAAACATTTTGGTTGGTCACCCCTGGTCCCAACAACAACTACTGTCTCTACATCAAAGTCCTTTTAACCTTTTTGAATCAGACTACACACGTCAACATGAGATTGTCAATTCTCTGTACATGGTTTTCCAATTCTCTCTGTTTATTATGGATGGGGCTGTAACCACACAACCTCACTCCTTCACCCTCATCTTCCAATTCACCTTAAAATATCACTCCAGTTAACTATTATCCATAGTTGGAGAAAATAAAAATTGAAGTTTATTATTAGAAAATACATTAGAGTATATATGCTAACTGTGTTTATTGAATTCAATCCATGATCTCCATAAAAGAAATTATCTTATTGATTAATTTGAACCGACAGAGAGATTATGCTAATGATAATTTATTATTACGAATCTAGGCAACAATTAAAAAGGAATATAAACATTCACTGTAAAGGGATATTACAAATATATATATTTTTCTCACAAAAATTTGACAAACTTGGAGGGAATGGTTTAAAAGTATAACGCATATTGGGAGGAGGGGGACAAGGTGGGTCACGTTAGGAGTTGTGACGAAAACTTTAGAATTGAAGAAGGCTTTACTTTTAAATTTAAAAATTGGTATGATAAATATTGGTATAAGTATTGGGATTATGATTAATTATGCTTTTTAAGTGGGAGACTACAAGCCTACAAAAAGCTCTCACTCTCACTCTCTCTCGGAGTTAGTAAGATTCGCAGAGATCTCTCTCAAAGCTAAAACCAATTTATAAATTATATAGATTTCAACGTCAATCACGCAAACATCATAAACAATAATTCATCATCATCAACACGTAACGGTGGGGACCCAAACCCTAAGTTTCGCAAACACACACCTGAACCTTATAATATTCAATTCAATGCCCTCCATGTCATGACATTAGAATGCCCTCTCAGACAAGCCCAACTAGGAAGTGTACAACAAGTAAAGGTTCTCTCTTTCTCAAAAACTTAGTATGAGCCACAGAGCCAAGTTCCAAGCTTATTCTTCTAACTTTGACTTTATTCACTAAATTGCCATCATGGCTAGTGATGGCATATGTAAGAAGAATCCAAGTTGGAATAATGTGAAAGGATAAAGATGTATGGAAATTCCTTCCTATTTGTCACAGACAGTAGACTGATATCTTGCCTCACAATATTTGCCTGAAACTACAGACAAGATATCAGTCTAACAATTTGACGAGAAAAATGGAATATATATATATATATGAAATTGTTTTTTTTTTAATATGTAGTTGTATTATATCATCATGTTGAAGAATAAATATCTACCATATCTATCTAATAATGGATGATTGAATAAGTCTAATACTGATTATTAACATACATATTACTAATTCGACATTTTAATTTAAGAAAGCTAACTTCTACAATAAAAACTGTCCAAACGTATATATTATAATATGAAATATCTATAGATGATGTAGATCTTTCTTGGACCATTTTTGTGTTTATACCAAAAAAATGTCACTTGTGACAAACAAGCGTATCTAGCTTGAGCTGAATACGGAGTGAATACGATGTTTACACGTGGGACATGCAGCAGTGATTAGTGGGGCGGTGTTAATTAGATCTGAGCGCCATATATGGTCTGGTTTAGGATCTTGGATGCTATACTATGAAAGCTCTTCTCTCTATCTCACCCGTAGGGCCCTTCTACTTTTTCTAGAGAGATATCAGCAATGGTGGTGGGTGAAGGTGTCGGTATATAGATTGAGCCAACAAATACTAGTGATATATCTGCAATATTTTAATTTCCAGATGAGTTTTCTACAGATTTTGTTAAGTAGTACTTGATTCACGTGATGCTGTGAGAGAACCTAAAAATGGAAAGGGAAAAAAACTGAGAGGTATGGAGGGCTTCAATATCTGATTTTGGGACATTCAATAGGTTTCATAATTCTTTGTATCAGCTGCAGAATTAGTTGGACTCAGCAGAAGCCAGGGTGGGAGGATAGAGACATGGGCTTCACGGTGGTTTATTGGGTTTCGTTCCTTCGTCAATATTCAATAATAATATGTTTTAAATGACAGAATATGATATGACAAAAGTGTCCAATAAAGAGAACTTTCGATTTCAAATGGAACATCTGTTTTGTTAATTGATGTTTGATTAATTAATTGTTTAGCAATCTTAAATAAAGTCATGGAGAAAAGGGTGGCATGAGCATTATGGAGAGATATGGGTGTGTACGTGTCATAAATGAATTGGATCTGAATGAGCTGAAGTTCATATTGAGTCAGACCTTTAACCAATGTTCATCAGCAGATTATGCAAGGTGGTAAGCTTTTGATTGGCCATCTTACGCAACGTTCAAATGCATGAACTTATAAGGTTGAAAATTTCCAAATATCTCAAACTTTTCTAACCTGTCCGAAAATTCTTAGCCAGGGTTTGCTAGACATCATCTTAAAATTAAGCATGTATAAATGCAGAGATTATTTTTGGCATACTGCCTATACTCTCAAAAAGAATTAATGGTAAATACAGCATAGCTTAAAATTTCTCCAACCCTAATTCTCTCTCTCTACTGATTTGAGTTAGGCATACAAATTATTAAAGTCTGTGAGGGTTGGATGATAAACCAGGGAATGGGTCCAACTGTCTATTAAATTTTGAATATGTTAATCAACCAGTTTAATGTCTTTGATGCTGCTAGATATAAATAATGCACCAGATACAAGTTGATTGATAGAGACCATGAGTTGCCCTTCAAAATAGCAACCCTTTATTTTGTTGGTGAGTCACACCAACTATGCATAATTTTATGTACAGTGCCTCGTACATACAGGAGGGAGTTTAAGTGTGTGAAACTGAAAAGAGAATGATATATAGCTCCGATCAAAGCCAATCATTTTGTACAAGACTTTCATCCCGTGCCATACTCCATCACATGCATCACATTCTCGAACCTCCCCCTCACATTCCGTTCCTCTCCTATTTTCTGCATACAACTATGTTGGTCACTGCCTATTTCTTTTACCCCAAACTGTTCACAGGTTAAATAATTGATTCAGACTGTGATGAATTGTGTGTTTTCAATAATATTTGCGATCTTGGAAGGAATGTAAGTTTTTAAATGAATTTTTTATGTAAAAAATAAGTTCATGAAGCTATTAAATAAAACTTTTCTTACTTAATATAAATATATTATGAAAAACCATTTCAATTCAAAATCAAGTTTATATCATTATTATATATATGTATATATAATCAATTCAAATATAGAACATTTATCTAAAGTGATTATGAATATGTCAAGAGATGAATCCGAACACAAGCTTAAGAGGGCCACCTTTGTAATTTGAACAAAGGAGTAAAAAGGCAATGGAGATAAAAACTGTACCAAGAGACAAATTCCAAGCCTTTGGGTCCCCTGGCTGTGGGTCTTCTAGGGTGGTGTTCCCATATTTTCACACACTTTCTTCTCCTTGGGACATCCGCAAGGACCCCACTTTCCTCACCTTTTATTTCTAAATTTCTACACAAAATTTGCTTTTTGTCAAAACCCATTGAATCCTGAGTATAAATAGACCCCAACACATGCAACAAACTACTCCTTACAAAACACATTAACTACCCCTACCTTTCTTGTTCCAACACTTTCACTACCCCTTCTTCAATTCCACTAAAACCACGCCCATGGAAACCCAACTTGACTACAAAACCAAAAGAGCAAACCCCACTTCCCCAACGAGCTTGAAGCTCTTTGGGTTCAGCGTCCATGAAGACATCACCATGGAAGAAGAAGACGAGGTGGTCATGCATGATGACGTGGAAGACTCAACCACCAAGGCCTCTTCCACTTCGCCATCTGCCTCTCCAGACTCTGCCGGTGCCGGTGCCGGACCTCCGTCTTCCGGCGACCGGAAATACGAGTGCCAATACTGCTGCCGAGAGTTCGCTAATTCACAAGCACTTGGTGGGCACCAGAACGCGCACAAGAAAGAGCGTCAGCAACTGAAGCGTGCGCAGTTACAAGCCACGCGAAACGCCGCCGTTTCGTTCGTGCGAAACCCTATGATCTCCGCCTTCGCCCCTCCGCCGCACCTGCTGGCTCCGCCGGGCTCCATGGTGGTACCGGCGGCTCCGGCCTCGTGGGTGTACTTGCCGCCACGTGCCGCGCCTCCTCCCTTCCACGTATCAGTATCTCACGGTTGTGCGTTCCCGTCGGCGAATGGCCACAACGGGTTGAGTAGTAACAATAATAGCAACGTTAGCATAGCGGGTGTGAAAACCGCGGGTGCAGGGATGTTTCCCTATGTTGGCGTTGTAGGCGATTCGCAATTAGCTATGTCAACGGTGCAGGTGCAGGCCCGGGCCCACCACGCCATGGTTGATGGGGCCTCTTTGAGTAGGTTCTCCAAAGGGGATGGTGGGCCCAAGTTTGATGATGCATGGGGCTTGGACTTGCACCTTAGCCTTGCGCCAGCTGCGCCGTAACTTCTCGGCTCGGCTTGAAATTCAGTGAGTGTTATTCTCTCTTTGTTCAGGCTTGACGCGCCGTTTAAGGGCATATATATGTTGGCTGTTTCAGCTTCGTATATTGTACATTTTCATATTTAATTGCTATTTTTTCAACCAAACTATTCACTTAGTACACATTACAACTGCTCATACAAATTCACATCCACTAATTTTCCTTTTACTTTTCTTTTCTACTCCAAATTTTGTACATGACCAATCTACATTTATAAGTCAATTTTTATTTTTATTTTCCCTTTTATCATGTAGCTAAAAGCTTATAATAAGACTAATAAATAATTAATAAACGTACGTAATTAATGAACCCAATTAAGGTTAAGAAAACTGTAACTTAACCCAATTATACTACTTAATTTGTGTAGGTAACTTATATAAGTTATTGTTTAGATCTTATCAGAGTGTGAACTCACTTATATAAAAGTATTGCAATCAATTTAGTATCATTAATAAAGATGATCATATTTGTAATCCTTAGCATGGAATCGGTGCATGATTCTTATTGAGCACATTGTGGTCCATTAATATAATGAAGGGATGCTAATATACCTTTCAGTAACCAGAAAACACATAATTGGCTTTTCAATTAATTTTTATACTAGCTAGTGGGCAAACGACAAAATTAATTAGAATTAAAACATCAATTTGTATATCTTGATGATTATGTCTGGATCGTTACTATAAACATCCTGGACTCGGGAGTGTGACCTATCTGATAATTATTTTATCTTGTTGGAGATTTGAAGTCTGGCTTTGGATTCTTTACTGGGATGTTAATATTATAACGACATATATTCCTGTTGAGTAAAATAAATAAAAGTGTTCACACAGGCATGACACAGCTCTCACCAGTCACTATATTACCACCTATGTTTAGACAGGTTGTACACAGAAAGTACAATCAATATGAAAACCTTATACCATTGATTTAATGTTAAGTAAAATACTTTTAAATCATTAGACGTAATAAGATTGAGATTTGTACTTATTTTAGCTGCAAATTTTTATTGAAAGGTGTTTTTATCAGAAAATTGCAGAATCAAAATAAAACACATTAGTATGAGGTTTGACAAATCTTAAGTTCAGCTGTGATTATGAAATGTTCAAAACTTGTATTCACATTATCAGTCATCTTTGAAAGTATTGGACTTAGTTGAGGTAATGAGAACATGATTCAAAGCATCCAATTTACGGTAACTGCACAATTCTTGTTATACAGTGTTAGAATATATATATATATATATATATATATATATATATATATATATATATATATATATATATATATTACATCTGTATATATGCACATCTAACTTAGCCACTAAAGTTCTAAATTATATTCGTAATTGTAACCTTCAATCGTACTGGAAATTTTTTATAAATATGGCAATTACGGCCAAATTCGCTGTTGCAAAGATTTTATTAGTGTCTTCTGTATTTAATTAGGTTAGATACACTTCTGCAGATATTATGCAGAGATCATAGTACGCAATTTTTTTACCTTCCTTTCAGGGTTTTATTGCTTCTGTCCTTCGATCAACGGTTAAAAGAGGGGTTGATCCTGAGAATAACAATATTGTCAGAATCACGTGGTCACACAACATATGAAGCCCTATGTCTATTATTGAGCAATGACACGATTCAAGGAAATGCTTTGAAAACGAAAAATCAACAATAATTATGAAATTTTACTCAAGTGTAAAGGGGAAGCTTCTGGGTGAAAATTTTGTGCAAATATGATGGGAGAGGAGGGGAATGATACTGGTCTGTTTCTTTCTGTCACCATGTTATAATGCCACATTTGATGCCTTATCAAACACGAATACCTTCTAGCTGATTGGAGACATGAATGAAAAAGCAAATAATTGTGTCCCTTGTTACCTAAATGGTCAATATGCTTCAATATCAATAACCATGCAAGAAAGAGAATCTTGGATGAAGATTGATATATTAATTAATTCCATCGTCCCCTTAATTGATTTTCAAGATCTTTATTATGTCTCTCAAAGAACGTGATTATTGCAATATTTCTAGACACTAAAAGCTTCCATTAACCCTTCGATGGTTTCTTGGTACCTTATTTTCTTCTTGAACATAAAAGAGTTGATAAAATGTTGGACCAATAGCAAGAAGACCAATATCTGAGAAAATGCACAGTTTATTTTGATTAGCAGATTAAAAAACAAGTGCTGCATTCTAACACGCCAATCTTTCGTTGTCTTCCATAATTCACTGAACAAGCTTCGTATCTATCATCAATAAGTTGCTGTCCAAACACGAGGATGGTGATAGAGAGAGTATTTATTTGTTGAGAAAATAATAGACAAGAATTGCTGCTCACTCTGAAGAGACTTGTGGGTAAGAGTAAGACAAAACTTGTACCAATATTTTAAAAGGGAAAGTTTTAATAATAATAAAAACTATTATTATATTAAAAATACTATATTATATTAAATACTGGCCTACTCCTCAACAGTAGAAAGTTTCTTGTCATGTAAAAACATGAGAGAGAATCATCATATATAATTATGTAAAGAGACTATTTTGGATTTTGAACTCAACCCATCATCGAGATATAACTTTATCATTGTGTCAGGGTTTGTTCTCCTATTTAAAATATGCAAACTTGTAATAAATTAAAGTTATATTTTTTAGTAAAAGTTTTGTATCCCATGATAAATTGTGGTAAGTTGTTAACATCGGTATCTTTTGCAAAGTTTATTAAAAGAGAGAGTCCAAAAAAACAACACTTGTAAAGAAATAGTTGGAGGACCAAAATTATATCTCAATAAGAATTCTTTGTTAAGGAGAGAAAGGAATAAACTTTGGGTAAGAGAGTGATGAGGTAGCTAGAAACGGTCATGTTGACAAGTGGTATATTCCCAAAATTCTCGATCTTTATATCTTTCTAATGACTTAAAGTGAAGTTCGGAAATATTGAATGTATGTTAAATGGAATTAGGATAACACAAGGTCGGTGCTTTTGCCACCCATTATATATATATCGAGATATTTGATTCAAACATGTCAAACCCAAAAGAAGATTTAGTAACTTTAAATAAAAGCTAAGGTTGATGATTCTATCGGCCTAGCTTAGCCATAATCTTGGTTTTAATTTATCTAAGTTGGGAACAGGTGGAGTTGGTTTCCGCAAGGGAGGTTAAGGAAGAATATGAATATTTTTATTAAGAGGTTGGATATGCTTTCGGTTTTACCTTTCTCTTATTTTGCTTCATTTGGTAATTTTGGTTTTGATTTGTGGAAGAACAAAAAGGTTGGTTCATTTTGGAACCATGATGGTATATTTGAAAACTTGAGCAGTCAGCGAAGATTGTTGCTTCTTTAGAGCTTTTCAACACAGTATAATTAATTATCCTTTGTGGTTGGTGAGGAAAGAAACTAAGAAAACCTGGCTCAACACCTTTTACACAATCGCTGTGAGTGAGTCCGATATATCGACCCTACTATCTTGAACTCCAAACTTAATCTAACATGGCTTACACACGCAAACTCACCAACTAATCATCAAGCTTTCTTGTAAATTTTAAAACGTAAAAGAGGACGCCAAAAAGCTACACTAATTAAGTTGGACCATCCTCTTGTTTCTTATTAATCACTTTAATCAAATTAGAGACATGATTAAGTTTGAACGTGTTGATAATAGTCAAAAAAGTTGTGTTATTACGGGATTTTCTTTTCTCACTTTTCTCATTTTTATCTTATTTTTCTTTCTATTTCTCTCTTTGTTTCTGGTTAAATTTATCAGTTTTTTCTCTTTCATCCACTTACACATCGAAAGGAAGTTACTTTCACCATTTAAAAAAAAAATAGCCCTCATAGCATGCACGTAGCTTGGGACCATGAAATTTTAATTGGTTCTTAACGGGGAAGTCATTTCTCTTCATTCTAATTGGCTTGAGCTTGATGAAGAAGTTAAGGGAGAATAGATGAGGCATTACGCTGAGTGCATTAGACATGATATTCAATCTACACGAAAACAAGGATTGTTTGTTATAGCAGATAGTGACTTTTGCAACTTACTCTCCTCCCAAAGTCTTACGTACCATAGCTTTGCACTATTGGTCAATGGGGATTTCACAACTATGATGTAAAGGGACATTGTAGGAGTTGGAAGCTGACTAAGACAAGATTTTTTTTTTTTCCTTCTTTTTCGTCTCCATCCCCACAAACTTGGATATTCATTGGCTTTCCCATGTTATCTCATTCTAATGCTTCTTTGGAGGCAGGTAGTTGGTTATAATTTATGAGTAATTATATTCATATTTTTTAGAACCAAATGAGAAGGAAACTCTACTAAGCTTTGTGATTTTTAATAAATTTTAGTCCATGTTAAAATAAAGAATGGCTATTTTAAGATTACTCCTTTTACTAGGCTCAACTTTTTGTCGTACAAAAATTCTAATCACATTCACACTTTTAACGATCTTTCTACAATCAAGATTGGAACAAAAAGAGAAAGAAATTCTCTTTCTATTTGCATTGTTTTTGTTATTATCACAATATAGTGTGAAGTATCACTAATTTTGTTAATAATTGTTTTTATTGGAAGCTTGACTAATTAGCTTTAACGAAGGGATACAATTCTTCTTTCAATCACATTTTTCATTTGTATAAGTTAAGATTTTAATGAAGGGAAACAATTCCAGTTTATTTGAACTCACAATTTATTGTTTGACATTATTTAAGGTTTTTTATTTTACAATTAAGAAAAACAATAAATGTTGTAATTAGTAAGATAATTTTACCAAAATATCCTTACTTTTTTTAGTCATTATAAATATATACATTATTTAGTTTGGAGACAAAACTGAGATAAAACTTGTAATATTTCCTTCGAAATAAAAACGTAAATCAATATGGAATGTATAGAGAAGAAAAGATAACGAGAAAAAAAATTAAAAATGTTTATAAAAATATATCTCAAAATAAAATAAAATAAA